AACGGCTGGAAAATGCCAAAATGCTAGGGGAGGGGAGCCCCTATGGAGAGAGACTGACCTCCTCAGAGACATAATTTACAGGTAACCTGACATTGAGTACCTTATTGAGTTTCTGTCTATTGCGTTAACTTGCAATTACTTTAAATTTGAGGAACAATTTTTCCTCCAGATAGCAGGCACAGCTATGGGGGCAGCTATGGCGCCCTCATATGCTAATTTGTTTATGTTTTGGTTTGAAAATAAATACATCTTGCCTGCATATCAACATAAGATTTTGAAGTACCTTCGTTATGTGGACGATATTTTCCTGATCTGGGATGGTACAGTGGATGAATTAAAGGATATGGTCCAAACTGTCAATTCCTCACCAGTACCCATTACCCTTACACCTTCGTGGCATGAAACATCTATACAATTTTTAGATGTCCAAGTATATAAACATGCAGAGAAATGCACATTATGTTATACATTATACAGAAAACAGACAGATCGGAACACTCTTCTGTTGGCGACTAGCTTCACCCTCAGCATCTCAAGGATGCATTACCTATATCACAGTTCTTTTGGGTACTTCGTTATAATAGTGAAATATCTTCCCGGGATACACAACTCCAAGAGATGTATGAACGTTTTCTTGCACGTGGCTACCACCCTCGGATATTGGACAAAGCCAAGAATCAAGCGACCAAACGTTTCAAGGATGAGAGCAACAGTACAACAGTCAGAACCACGTCACGACCCCATAACAATATTTTTCTACCGATAACCTTTCATACGGGCACATTGCAAATGAGAGATTCTATACAAAAACATTGGGACATCCTCCAGGCTGATGTGAATCTCCCGCATATATTTCAACAAAAGCCGATCATCAGCTATAAAAGTAATAAAAATCTCAGTGACTTATTGGTGAAAAGTGACCCTGTTCAATGCTATAAAAAATCTCCTGTCATTAAAAAGAAAGGATGTTATAAATGTTCAGGCTGTGTAACATGTGGTCACATGATCAGTGGTACAACATTTAGCCACCCTCATAATGGCAAACGTATACCTGTATCCCATTATATAATGTGTATACATTACTATATTACTAATTACACAGATTGTGTATACATTATATTTATATTTTTTATTTTTATCTTCATTTATATTTTCATTTTTTATATTTTCATTTTTTATTATTCTTTATTCTTTATTATTTTTTGTTTGATTCCTATTTTATGTTAATTTTATTTTACTTGATTAATCCATTTGATCGTTGAATTTTTATTTTTTTATTGTTCCATTTTTCTAATTATATGTATATGCTGATTTTCTTTTTCTTCTCAATTAGATACATAGCTTGATTTCCTCCAGCTAGACACTTATGTGTCCGTTCTTGTAAAAATCCCGTTCTCGGGATGCTGTCTTTTCACTTTCTTTCACTTTCGGCACGGCGTCGTCTGGTCGCCTAGTTACCACGTTTTCTCTTCCGTGATACGTCACCACGTGATGACGTCATTGCGGCATACAGCACTTCCGGGTTTCCGGTTTCGCGGGCTAATGGGTCCATAATCAGTTTCCTCACATGTTTGGTAAGTTATTTGATTAATTGATATATGTATATATTGTCACTGTTTTATGTGTGCTGTGATCTTGAAAAAGACCCTTAGGGGTCGAAACATCGATTTGTTCACGGATATAATGAAGATTTTTTTCACCTTAAATAATTTGATTGTCATTCTTGTCTAAGACCTGTGAGTGCACCCCTGTCTGCATACATATATTTATAATGCGGGTTGCACCTAGGCAATTGCTGGTTTTTCATTTTTTAGTAAGGAGAGTGCCAAGCAGTTGTGGATATTTTGATATATATATATATATATATATATATATATTGTGATAAGGTGAATGGGGTGGTCTGTGAGGGAGTCTATATCTCGACAGAATTGTTCAGAGAGGCATATGATTTTTAACCCCAGGGGGAGTGTATGTTTCTGTGTATGTAACCAGAATGAATATTTAGTTATGGGCCCCTGGGGTGGAGCATTTGGAGAGCAGGGTGGGCCAGTGCTCCACTCTGCAGTTTAGCGGTTTTCTTGGAAGACATAGATCCAGCCCAGGGTTTTGGACTGTCTCCAACCTACTGCTCAGCTGCAGGTAATCGGCTACAGCAGTGGGAATAAATCCCTCCCTGCTAGGCAGGTAGGGAGAGAATGTTTTGTTTCTCTCTGAAAGGCTGGAAGCAGCAGGCTGGCTAAATACTGGAGTGCTGAGAGTGGACAAAGACTCTAGGTTGGTGAAACCAATATTGTTTTGTTTAGTTTAACCCTGAGAGATAGGGAACCTAATGTCAGTTAGTGCTCAGACTAGCTAGGTTTTTGTTTATAAGGTTTTGTGTTACATTTATGTTTTCATTTACTGCTGTATCCTGTGTGGATTTACAAATAAAGTGCCTGGAGTATATGCAATTACAAGGACTGTGCCTATTGTTTACCCTAGAGTACTGTGCTACCTGCAAACAAGGATCACAATATATATATAAATATATATATATATATATATTTGTGTAAGGGGCAAAGTAATCGTATAAGGAGTGAGGTTCCAGTAGGAACTTGGAATAGTATAAAAGAGCAAGTCGGTTGTGGTGTGCCGATACCGACGATACGGTAGGCCTGTAAATAAAGAGGGCCCACCCAGGATTAGAAAGTAAAAGAAGAAGAAAAGTGATATAGATTGTGTAAGTATGAGGAGTGGGTGGGAGGGGCATTCAGACGCTGACCTTGATTGGTAAGGAGTCAGGTAAGAGGTGTAGCTTATATAGGGGAGTAAGTTAACTTAAGCCCCTCCCACAAATACAGGCCAAACGGCCTTACTACTTGTGTAAGGGGCAAAGTAATCATATAAGGAGTGAGGTTCCAGTAGGAACTTGGAATAGTATAAAAGAGCAAGTCGGTTGTGGTGTGCCGATACCGATGATACGGTAGGCCTGTAAATAAAGAGGGCAAAAAGTGAATAACAAAATATTTATTACAGTCAACAATATATACAATTATCCAGATATGACTTTAAATGCATTTCTTAATTCTTGTGTTGGTTTGGGTATATATATAGTATAGGCGGATGACTTCCAACGTCCCAATGACTTGATGACGTGTACTGGTACGTTGGCGCTGGATGTGGAGGAGGCTGCTCCTATGCAAAACGAGTGACCAGAGTAGTGAGAAGGTTTGAGACCCAGCATTGTTAGCAGGGATCGTATATATCTCATGAATGCCGTGGTGGTGAGTACTGCATGTTGCAGTTTGAATAAAGGTTGTGATGGTAGTGCTGTGGTGTTAAGAAGATAGGCGTCTAAGGCTGCTACTGGACACCACTTGTTTAAGGTAGGGTAATATGTGATCTCCACTGGATGCGCATGTTGGCTTGTCTTTGACTGGGGTAAAGAGAGTATGTAGTGGTCACTATGTTTTTGTAGGTGCTTGTGTAGCAGGCATCTATCCTTTTGAGTAGTTGTGACAGTGGTGAACTCCCTTGGTCTGAGGAACCCGTAGAAGGCTGTGTACATAGCTGTTTTAATGACTGAATTGGCGGTAGAGTGGAAAGGTCTGGAATCTAATAGGTCGGATAATGAATGAAAAAGTTTATTGTCTATAGGTAATCGCTGTGGTGGTCGTGGAGGTACGGATTTTTGGATACCTCTGAGTATATTCTTTACCTGGTATGATGACATGAAGCTATGTGTCTTAGGGTTAGCAAGTGATGTTGTATGCCTGTAAGATATAACTTAATTGTGTTATGTGATAAGTGTAATTTAAGGTGGCAAAAGGAAGTGAAAGCTATAATAGATGTCATGACGAATGGTTGTGATGTGTCGTGATCGGCGAGAAATCTGTTAAATAGTGTAAAGACTCTGTTATATGTAGTGTGAGTGTTGTGTGATAGTGCTAATGTGGCTAGATCCCTACTATGTTCCATGATTATATCTAGTCCATGATTAGTTGTGAGAACGGAAGGGCGACTGTGGCTGCTTGAGCGGCTGACGGGTGTGCTTGTCGAAAAGCCTGAAAATTAAAACGAGACAGGCTGTCAGCTGCTATATTACTAATACCTGGTACATGAAAGCAAACCAAGTAGAAGTTATGACATGCTGCCAACCACGTGAGTTTTCTAAGAAACCTCATGATTGTAAGGGATGATGAACGGCCTTTGTTGATTATGTGACATGTGGCTTGATTATCTGAGTGGCAACGAACAGACAAGCCTGACCATTGGTGTCCCCATGCCACAGCAGCCGCTACAATAGGGTAAATCTCAAAGAGAGCTGAGGTTGTAAAAAAGCCTTCTAAGTCACAGACTTCTTCAGGTCACTTACCCCAAAGCCATTTGTTACCAAAGATGGCTGAAAAACCCTTGTTGGATGCTGCATCTGACCATATGGTTGGGAACGTGTCTGATAATGCGGGGAGGAACAAACTTTTACCATTCCAACTGGTCAAGAACCTCTTCCACATTTGTAGGTCTGCTGTGGCTTGTAGATCCATAGATAGTCTGTGGTTCTCGTGTTGAAAGTGGGGAAAAAGACAAAGCAGTCTGGATACGAAAGCCCATCCTTGAGGGATGATGCGCATGGCGAAGTTTAAGGTACCTATAAGGGACTAGAGTTCCTTGCGGTTGCAAGTACCTAGGAAAATGTAGTGATTTATGCTGTTGATAATGTTTTCAATTTTGTCGTGTGGTAAGCTTGCTTGCATGGATGCAGAGTCGAGTTGTATGCCCAGGAAAGTAATGATAGTGTCTGGACCTTCAGTTTTCTTGAGGGATACTGGGACACCCAAGTGGTTGAATAGATTAATGGCTTCTTTAAGACTACTGGGCGGAAGTGAGTTCCCTTCTATCATCAGAAAATCGTCGAGGTAATGGATGACTATGTGGCATCTTGAAACGTTTAGTAGTAACCAGCAAAGTGTTTCAGCAAAAATGTCAAAAATCTTTGGGCTACTTTTCGACCCAAAGGTTAAGCGGGAGAAGAAATAGTATTTCCCTGCCCATTTTATACCATGTAGGTGCCAGAGTGTAGGGTGGATTGGTAGCAGTTTGAAGGCATTTGTAATGTCCGTATTACTTAACCAAGCTCCAACACCCGTTTGTGTGATGGCTGTAATGGCGTTATCAATGGTGGCGTATTGAAGGGAAAATTCTTCGGAGGGAATGAGGGAGTTGAGACTTGGGGTAGCGGAGGTATGAGGGGCTGAAAGATCAATAATGAGTCTTTGTTTGAGGGAAGTTTTCCCTGTGACCGTCCCGATGGGGTTTGTACGCCATGGTGTAAATGGTGGGGTTGCGAATGGTCCAAACAAAAACCCTTCTGCCAATTCTTGTGCTATTAGTGTATTTACTGCTGTTGGGTTCTGGTCTGCAGACTGTTAATTTGGGCATTCTAGTTGTCCAGTGGGCATATGTATGATGCCTGTGTGGAACCCGTCATTGAATCCCGTGATAAGAAACTCTACAAGATGTTTGGAGGGGTGATTGGCTAGTAGTGCTGCTAGAACATCAATGTTAACAGACGTTAGGTATGGTTTAGGGTACATTTTATTAGGACACATGGATTTAGTATGTGCCCTGAAACATTGTGAACAAATATGCAACAATCTACATGCACTAAAACTACATGTGCCACAGTTAAAATTATTGCAAATCTGTGATTTGCCGAAGAAAATGATGGGACGGCCCAGTTTGTCTCTGGCGTTTTTCCCTGTTCTATCAGCGTAGCTAGTGCTGGGTGCCTGACTGTGGTCGTCTGCCATGCTAGAACAAACATTTGTGGTGTGTGTAGTAGAAGAGCAGGATAAACAAGCCGGTGTTTTAAGCCCTGCGAAGTGTCTACAAAAAATGTCTGTGTCCAATCTGCTCCAGTTGATACGGGTACCATACTGGGAGAGAGCGCCAGACACTTTGGTGGAAAATGACCTATGGTAGTCGTAAAACGCCGACCCACCATATTTGTTACCAAGGTCCACCAGCTTGTGCATGTAACGATCAAATTCCTCTCTTCTATTAGGGTACACTTCACACATAACAACTCTGAATATACCAAAGGCTAAGACAAATTCTGGGATGGTCAGTTTACGGTTCAACCTGGAGTCTTTAGATCTGACCACCACAGATACCTCATCATACATATAAGTCTTGTTTTCTACCACATCCTGGGAGGCAATTAGTAAGGATGCTAGGTTGACATCTTTGCCCTCCAGGATGTCTTTCTTGATGTGGGCTGGGATAGTGAGTGCAGGATCAGCGTCCTGGAAATCTGACAAGTTAACGTTACCCGTAGCCCATGGTTCGATTGGTGCCGGTTGTACGGTGTCGGGAAGGCCTGCCTTGGTGAGGGCTGTGGTCACCGCCTCGAGGTTAGCCAGTCTGTCGTTGACCTTGCCCATGGAGCTCATGAGTGAAGCCAGCATAGCCTGGATGTCTCCCGAATTGGGGCTGGGGCCTTCTCCTGCTTCCGTATTGTTTGTTGTCATGTTTAGGAGTTTAAATAACTCTGCTTTCCTTGCTGTAGCAGGGTAGGGAATTTGACGTCTCCTTAACTCTGTTGTAATGCACGGTATTGTCCAGGATCTGACGCTGGACTGGCCATATCTCTCCTGTGAGAAGGTGTCTCGCCCCTAGCTGGGGTACTAGGAAGCGATAGCTCCTCACCACTTGCATGAGACATGTTTAACTAAAATAAAAAATAAAATTATTATTTGAACCAGGTGTTTTAGTACTGGCTTGCTAGCTATGCCGTAAGCGAAACGATTATGCTTAAGTTTGTGACTGGTGAGGCCCTGCTAGTGCCAAATGGCTTGAGAGGCTCTATCTATGCGTTGGCACGATGGAATTTTTTGTGGCCACCGATCGTAGTGGCAGGATGATGGCCTCTCGGTGAGATTACTAAGAAAAAGGAAAGGGAGTGACTGGTGAGGCCCTCTCTATGAAACTTGCGAGGCGACTAGCTCACGAGTGGCTCGAGGGGTGTATGCCTCCGAGTATGAGGCGGGTTTGTTGGCCTCGCGGGACCGCTAATCCGAAGCATAATGCTGAGAAGGAGATATAACAGCTATTGGCCCCTATGACCCTATCTGCCAGTACTTATCTATTATTTGGGGATCATATTTGGATATACTGTGAGCAGGTGTACGTACCTGGAAGTATAATTAAAGAATTTTAGACAATCCTTTTAGGTGGCAGTAGATACCTGTAACTAAATAGATGGAAACCGTATGAAAATAAATACAATGCATGAATCATTCTTATTAATGTTTATGTGTTCGCCATGGAGAGATCAGTGGGTTGATGTTTGTAGGATATCCGAGAGTTCAACTATAACTATGTTATGTGGTATTTTAACTGTAATGATTGGCTATTTATTACCTAAATATGAGTTCGTAATTTATCATTTGGTAATTTGTAGGGTCATTGTTTGTACCGTCCTGTAATATGATGATGTATGTATGCCATATGTTCATGATATGTGATTTGATCATGATCTAAGTTTATACGCATAGACAATCATAGTGCGCTCAACCCAATAATCAAAATAGAAAAGTTGGGCATACCATGTAACATTCACAGTGCAGTTGGAGTATGCCTGTATGACCAAATAAACAATGACTAACAATGACTAATCGTGCCATGCAGCCCGTTTGTAGTGTGTTATAAGAAATTGTTCTCCTGACGTATGTAAAAGAGTATGACCTTAGTGTCAGGATTAGTATGTAATGATACTTGAATTACTTCTATGACCTGTAGGGGTCAGTGTATATAGAAAACCCTTATGCTATTATGTAGAATGACCTGTAGGTGGCAGTGTAGGTTTGGACATCCGAAATGTATTTAGTAACGTAATGCAACAAATGTGTGGAAGTGCTTTCGATCAGTGATCAGCTCACATGTTGAGGAAACGTAATGTGACATAATAATTGGAATATAATCAATGTAATTCAATTGAGTGGGCAAATATGAACATAGTGGTATAGATACATTATTAAAATGAGGATTATGTAGTGGGAGTTAGATAAAAATAGAAAATCACGTGACAGGCGTGATTGGAGCTAAGCCCCATTGGAAATGTAGTGGGCACCCGTAAATGCGCCTGCCGGCGTGCAATGTAATGAGATGAAAGGGGGATGTGATTGGGCGTCATATGGAGGAATTATGGGGAATGTGTTTTTTTTTTTTTGAGGATAATGTTTCAGCCGATAAGAGTGTGTGATGAGTGACGGCGGCATGTGATTTACATTTCTCACAGAGGTATGGGGGATTTAAAATATATAAAAGTTATGTGACCCTAAGTTATTTATTAGTATTTAACGATTAGGCAGTGCGAAAGTGATAACTGGCTGTACGGGTGTCTGCTAATGTCCGTCGGGCAACATGAGTTATGTATGAACGAGGGTAGCTGTATGTGCATACCCGTGAAACACATAAATGCTGTGTGTACGGTGTTATATCCTAATTACGAGTTGTTTAACTGGAACGAGTATGCGTACTGTAAGCCCGATACATATGATGAAGGAAAAAGCCGGGAAAGTGATTTGATAGTTTAACCGAAACGTGCCCGTAAAGTGTGGACCTAGCCCGTTACCGATGCCGTGGGACTGTTGCAGGCGGAACGGGTAGGTCAATTTATGGTATGCGAGTGCCTAGGATGTAATCTGCGGCGACGAAAAGAAGTTTAGAAGCTGGTCGGGCGGAAACCTGCTGCTGGGTTCCTGGACACAGTTTCAGCGTGGAAGACCTCGTGAGAAGACGGAAGTATTCCAAAATGGTGACTGGATGAACCGGAAGTGCATTCAGACGCTGACCTTGATCGGTAAGGAGTCAGGTAAGAGGTGTAGCTTATATAGGGGAGTAAGTTAACTTAAGCCCCTCCCACAAATACAGGCCAAACGGCCTTACTACATATATACTTAGATCATATATATAATAAAAAATATATATTTGATCTAAGTATATATAATTTTATTTTACAGTGTTTGAAACTGTTTTAATTTTTATTTTCAGGCAGCAGGGGGAGTACCTGTCATTACAGACACTCCCCCTGCTGGCATTGCTGTGGATGGCTATGAGGTCCTCTGAAGGACTTCGCGATCACATGGCCCAAGGGGGGGGCAAAGAGGAAGGAGGGGGGACTTCTTGGGCTCCCAGGTGAGTACCCATACCGCGATCGCCGGCGTGCTGGCGAATGGGTAAGTAGAAAGGAAGACGTGCTATGCCGCCCCCTGGCATTTAGAGCCAGGTCCCCAAGGAAGGCATAGCAACACCCACCTTTCTTAAGGTGTTAAAATTGGAGCTGAGCGGGAGACGAGGATCAGAGGATCATTATGAAAAACTGAACACACCTAACTCTGCCTTTTCCAACTAAATTCTGGGATTTTGAAAACTCACTCTAGCACTCTGTCTTTTCCAACTGAATCTGGGTCTTGGTTAAAATTCTTTAATAATAAGAACTCTGATAACTTCCCACAATTCTCTATCTATCATACTTGTACCCACCATTCATGGAATATACCTCCAAGTCTAAAGAATTTCTAACAAAAAAGCTGGTAAATATGCTAGTTTCATTTAATTTAATTTAACTTAAATTAATTCATTTTTACTAAAAGCAGAAATATACATGGATAATGCTGGTCAGATTTCAAACCTTTGAAATCATACTTAGCTGAGGAAATATATGGTTCTACATTTCATTTCTGAATAAATGAACAATATATTTATTGGTAATTTGCCAAGTATAGCATACCAAGCTATTATCCAGAGATAGTAATGTCCCGAACGGTTCGCTGGCGAATAGTTCCTGGCGAACATCGCTTGTTCGCATTCGCCATGGATGGCGAACATATGCGCTGTTCGGTCCGCCCCCTATTCGTCATCATTGAGTAAACTTTGACCCCGTACCTCACAGTCAGCAGACATATTCCAGCCAATCAGCAGCAGACCCTCCCTCCCAGACCCTCCCACCTCCTGGACAGCATCCATTTTACATTCATTGTGAAGCTGCATTCTTAGTGAGAGGAGGGACAGTGTAGCTGCTGCTAATTTGATAGGGAAATTGATAGCTAGGCTAGTGTATTCAGTGTCCACTACAGTCCTGAAGGACTCATCTGATCTCTGCTGTAAGGACTGCACCCCAAAAAGCCCTTTTTAGGGCTAGAACATCAGTCTGCTTTTTTTTTTCTGTGTAATGTAATTGCAGTTGCCTGCCTGCCAGCCTGTGT